CTTTGTCGCTTCTCCCTTGCTCAGGGGCTCCTCGGTTCTAACCTAACAGAGGCCGGATCTGGTAGTCCAGCCTTCTGGATCATGCAGGGGCCAGTTAGGTAGAGGCAGGAACTCTTCCGGCAGGGTTGGGGAGCTGAGGGGGGATGTGTTTGCGGGGATTTACCTTTTCTCTCTCTTCAAACATCCAGAAGAAGGGAGTCATGGCTCCAACGTCCAGGGCATGGGTGGTAATGGCCATGATGTGATTCAGAAGGCGTGTGATTTCTCCAAAAAGAACTGGGAGGCAAAGACCGGGATTAGCAATAAAAATAAAAACCTGAGTGGTGTCCCCAGGTGCTGATGCTTTAAGAAGTTTATTGGGGGTTGCTGCTTGAGTGTGCTAGTTCACGTTAGAGAATATCAACGGAGCCAGCTCAGTGGCGGGACGAGCATTTTCCCGGCCCCTGGGAACCTCAGTGTGTTGGTTAACCTCCTCAGTGTGTTGGTTAAAAATGGCAACGTGTAGCTTCTGTCAAAACCGAAGGCGAAAAAAAGAGAGAGGTGGGATCCCTCGAGGAGGAAAATCTGGGTCTCCCCCATCTGCTTTGCTTCACAGGGCCCGCTTGCACCTCCCACATTTTAAAGGGAGAGGTAGGAAAGGTAAAAGGGCCTTGTTTTCAGCTACCATCCCCCTCTTACTGTACGATACGAACATGAAACATGCTAGTGGTCTTTCTTTATTTGCTCTCAATCTTCCCTCTGAATAAGCCAGGAACAACCCAAGAAAGGGATTCATGAGAAGCTAACTTTAAACTAGGTTTCATTGCTACCCCGCATGCCAACCTGAATGTTTCAACTTGGAATACAAAAGACCAAGACTTGAAAGGATCAGCTAGCGACACCTTCTGGAGGTGCTCCTGCATTTGTGCGCTGAGGACCGGTCTATATTAAACCAGGATTCCCTGGCTTAAGGCTTCTTGCAGAGAAACAACCTCCCGAGTCCTTCTAAATATATTTAGAGGCAGGGGAGGGAGGGGGGGGGTGTGTGGGGCAGGAAGAGACTTAAAGTACTGGGTCTTCGCTCACAGTTAACCAGAGGCTCCTAACTTCTCCCAAGGAAAAGTGTCTCCCCCCGGTGCTCTGTAAATATTAAATATTTACACCATCACATCAGTAGAGGGATGGAAGACCCACTCACCCCGGATCCACTGAGCTCTTATGGGGGGTCGAATATTCAGCAGTTTCTCGACAGCCAAAGAATACGCCTGTTCGTTGCACATCATGGAGACGTAATCAAGCCGATCAAAATATGGCAAGGCCTGAGATGGAAAAGAGTAGAAAAACCTTTTAAGAAAGGATAGAAAAATGTTTTAATTGGGGTTCTGTTCTTTGCAGGAGTGCGAGAGGTGGTGGATGAGAACCGAGGGGTTAAAACTACAAGGAAGAAGGTTGAGGATGATGCCGGGGGAATGAGCTGACTGGGTAAACAACTAGCCAGGGGAACAAGCCGCCACTTGATGCATTAAGCTGCATTTTGCTGGAGGATCCTCTGTCTGAGATATCTAGAGCCCGCACTGAACGGGGGTTAGGCTGGATGACCTCAAAGGTCCCTTCCGACTCTACACATCCCAAACGGAGCCGCAGCCCCCCGTGAGAGTCGCTTGGTAGCAGTCGACAGAAGCACTTGAGAATCCGAATAAATGGCGTGAAAGGAAAAGCTACATGGGGGGGAATGCTGCCCCCATTTACCTGGAGATAGGTTTTATACTCTATCAGTTTCTCCGTCCCCCGGTGAAGCAAGCCGATGTGGGGGTCGCACTTCTTCACGTTCTCCCCGCTCAGCACCATCACCAGCCGTAAGACCCCGTGAGCTGCAGGATGTTGAGGTCCAAAGTTGAGAGTGATGTTTGCCAGTCTCCCTACAATAGGATCCTTATCTGCAACGGAAAGAGATCATAAATTACTGACTGATGCCACTGTAGACATACCAACCTGCTGGGGCATTTCCCAGAGCATCAGCCCATCTCGTTCGATCTGACCAGGCTGGCGTGCCGGGGGTCCCATCGATAAACCAAACAACGCCATGAACAGGACTCCCCCTGAAATTTGCACGCCCTGCTCCGACTTGATTCAAAATAGCTCTTCAAACATGTTTTTTCTCCCTTGGGCTAACTGGGATTGTGGAGGTGTTTGGGTTCTTCTGTGTCCCTTGGCACCTTTCCTTCACGGCTGTTTTCTTCATCTGTCGTGAACGCTGTAGGCCACCCAGAGTGGTTTTGAACGGGGCGGCCTTACCGATCCAATTTCATTACATTAAATTTGAAATTGATGCTACGCAAAGCGGTAGGATAATAATAATATAACTCCAAGAGAGAGATGATCTTCTTCTCCTTCTCCTTCTAACAGATAAGCACCTACCACATAACACCCCAGACTTAACCATTGTGGATAAGAAAGAGAAAAACATCTGGATAATGGACACTGCAATACCTGGAGACAGCAGAAGAGAAGAGAAAGAACTGGAGAAAAACCACAAAATACAAGAACCTGGAAATAGAAGTAGAACGACTGTGGCCAAAGAAAGCACAGACAGTATCAAGAGTTATAGGCACTTTATGTTCAATCCCAAAACATCTGGAGCACCCCTTGAAGACCATCGGCATTGACCAAATCACCATCGGTCCATTGCAAAAGGCAGCTTTACTTGGAACGGCTTCCATCCTGCGACGATTCCTTGAACCCCGTCCAACCACGACATCTGCCTATCCCAGGTCCTCGGGAAGGCCTCGATCGGTGGATCAAAATGCCAAATCCAGCCTAAATCTCTGGCCGACTGCCGACCATCATAATATCGCTCCAAAGGAGGTACTCACTGTTCCACGGTGGAGGAACCCATTTTTCTGAGACTTTGCTAGGGTACATGACCGCGCCTTCCAGCTGCTTAATAAATTCCATATCCGGCTGCCACTGTTTTCCTCTGAAAGAAGGGGGAAATGAGAACGGCTGAAATGGCCATCTGCGGCCGTCGCGCGTGCATTTTTCAGGACTCAAACTTCTCAAGATAACTTTGGATACGATCTCCTCCCTCCGTCCTCAACGAACATACGGTCGGCCCCGATCCTGCAGGACCTTCTGATAGGCAGTCAAGATCTGGCGTTTTCCCCAGGCTTTCAGGTCAGGATCAGCAGAATTCCCCACTGGATGAGGTCTAGTAATGTATATTTTAGTCCTGGGGGCCATTATTATTGTTTTAGTCGGGTGGGGAGGTGTTAATGGCATGTGGGTGCTGGTTGACGATTCTCATACGCCGCCCGGAGTCATGCTGTTCAAATTGGCACAAGCTGTTTTGGGCACTTTACACCTGCTCTGTTGGAACTGGGTTTGCAGGCCCAGCTTGAGTTGTTGTTTTTATTCTTTAAAACAGTATTTGTCAGTCTCGGCCCCTTTAAGACAGGTGGACTAGCTCCCAGAATTCCCCAGCCAGCATGCTGTTACCCTAATTTGTCTATGGAAATCTAGGGTTAGATCAGTGTTTCTCAACCTCGGCCCCTTTAAGATGGGTGGACTTCAACTCCCAGAATTCCCCAGCCAGCATGGGTGAGGGAATTCTGGGAGTTGAAGTCCACCCATCTTAAAGGGGCCGAGGTTGAGAAACACTGCTTTAAACCATTTGGACCCTGGATGCATTAAGGGCAACTCCTTGTGTGCTTTCCCCTGCAGGCTCCAGGCAGCATCTGAGGTTGGGCTCCAGATTCCAAACCCGCCAACGCCAAGAGATCCCTTTCGAGCAGCAGGGCCTTTTCGGTGGCGGCCCCCACTCTGCTGAAAATGCCCTTTGCGCTGTTCTCACAACCCCCCAGGACTGTGCCGAGCCAGGGGAGGCTTCCCTAGCGCTGAGGGTCCCCCCCCCCCCCC